TTCCCCTTCCTTCCCACTTAACACCCGTTCATCCTTCTGCTTTGTTCTCGCAGACCCGCGTATCCCTCCCAGAGCCAGGAAGAACCGGCTCTGGAGCTCTCCCGCCCTTACCTGGAGCAGCCAGTAGCAGCGCCGATGGAATGTGGGGACGATGGAAGAGTGAACGTAGCAGCCATAGAGACACTGCCAGGAGACAGGCTGGGGTGGGGGGAGGGCTAGTCTGCTCCCCAAGTCTTCCTCTGTTCGGTTCCTTTGCAGGAATCCCAAGCTTTCCACCAGTTCATCTCCAGCTCCCTTCTCACCCCCACCTGTTCCCCACTTTTTTCAAATTCTAGCAGTCCCAAGTCATGAGTAAGGGCCAGAGAGAAGGGAAGAGCAGGACTGGGCTTTTATGAGGGTTAGATTAAACCCACGGGACTACCTAGAAATTCAAGGGCAGAGTGAGAATGCAGCTGAGAAGAAGGAATGATTTGGGAAGAGAAACCTGTGTTTAAAGTACGGTTGTTTAGATCCCTGTGAAAAATGCAAGAGAGGCCAAGAGTGGGCTTCAGTACCCAGGCCGGGAGAGCTGGGTCCTGGAGGGGAATGGGATGCAAAGTGGGCTCCGTAACCAGGCAGCCGATCCAAAGTGACCGAAGAGAGAAGAGTGACGGCAGCGGGGAGGGCTGGGCCCAGCTCTGGCCCGAGGAGGTGGACGAGGGCAGTGGCTGGATGCCCGATCCGCTCACCTCCATGCCCTGGACCTTCAGCTTCATGTGGTCCTCTCGGGTGGTCTTCCCGTCTTTTCGTTTCTTCCAGAGGTAACCATCCTTCCGGTATTTCACCTTCTTACGGTTGTAGAGGATGATGGAGCCATTCTGAGGCCTAGGAAAGGAAGGGCTGGCCTCGAGTTCCGTGAACAGAACTCATGAGCCTTGCCATTCCCCACCTTTGAGAGCTTTCTCACCTTGTCTTTGGGGCACAAGATAACCACTCATCATGTTTCTCGAAGGTGATCAGGTAGGATGCAATCTCCTGTAGGAAACGGGCCCTCAGATAGGTGTCTCCTTCACAGAGTCAGACCCGCCTCTCTGTCATCACCTCAAGTTCTCACTCTCCAGGAGCTGAAGAGCTAGTAGGGGATGCTTCCAGGTGTCTGAGTCCAGCAAGGGCCCACTGTCCTTTTTTTTTTTTAATGTGGTCTTTCTTTGTAGGTCAGCCTGTCTCAGCCTCAGCCTCCCAAGTGTTGGGATTATAAGAATGCACCACCACAACTGGCCCCATTGCCTTCTTAAGAATTTCAGGTTCTGGGGCAGAGGATGTAGTTCATCAGCCTACATGCCTGCCTAGAAAGTATGAGGTCTATCCCCAGTGCCAAAAAAAAAGAATTTCAGGTTCTCACTCAGGAGGCTGAGGCAGGAGGATTGCTGCAAGTTCAAGACCAGCCTTGGCTACAAAGTCAGCTCTTGACTAGCCTAAACTGCATAATGAGACCATCTCAAAAAGACAAAATAATAATAATAATAATAATAATAATAATAAAATAAAAAGAATTTCAGTTTACATCATGAACAAAATCTAATCTCCTATCCTGTCCCTCCCAACTGGAGCACATGTCTCAGAATCAGTCAAGTTTATCACCCAGTCCTCATATCGTGTCTGATTCTTCCTTTCCAAATCTCACTCGATATCCCTTCTTGAGAAGAAACCCTCAACATCTTAACCAAGAATTCAAGATTCTTCAGTCTGATTCCAAGATATCAAACCATCATTCCCACCGTTTACCACAGTCTACCTGCCATTCCTGCTGGACAGGTCCACTGATTCTTTCCTGAACATGCCCTGAACAGTCCCATATGTCAGTACCTAAAAGCCTGAAGTGCCAGGCATCTCGCCCCATTTCTGGAAATGTCAGTTATCCTGCAGGCTTCCCAGATGGTCCATGAAGTTGTCTGCCCCTGGCCCTTCCTAAAAGGCTCCGCAGTACGTGCAACAATCACATGTATGCAAACCTTTTTTTTCTCTTACACCAAGTACATACATTAGGAAAGAAGAAACTTATGAAATATTCTCATATCTTTCCACATACCTTTTTACTGACAGTTCCAACATCAAATCAATGACCATCAACCCCCAACCACATAAAAGTCACTAAATATGCAGGACACTGAAGGTGTGTAACGTAAGGACTGTGCCCTTCTGGAGCAGCCAGTATTGTGGTTAAAAGCTGGGTTTCAGCGAGTCAGATAAGCGCTAAGGAGTCAGTCCGTTTCCTTATCAGCTACATGAGTGCAGTAATATGGGAAATAAAGAACAAGTGCTTAGCATAGTGCCTCGCACGTAAGAAATACTTAATAGATGACAGCTATTGCTTTACCCAGGAGGATGCACCAAGAGGTGGGCTCCTACACAATCCATGTATTTATACTTCGCCTGTGGGCCCCGAAGAGCCCCAGCAGTGCTCTAAGGAGTGTCTACAGACACAGAAAGACTCATCCTCCCCAGCCCACTGGGCCTTGCTGGGCTCCAACCCCAGGCTCCCTAGAAAACCTCATTTGTATTCCATCGGAGTCGCTCTGGAGGCAGTAGTGGGCACCGAGGAAGACACTCCAGCAGCTTCTTGGGGAGGAAGATCTTCAGGTGGTGGCTGTTCTCTGGAAGGAGCCAGAAGGAAAGGCTCTAGTATCTCTGTGAGGGGCAGCCCAGGAAAAGAACAGGGAAACTGCCACCAGGACAAGCCAGCAGCGAAGCTAAGTATCAAACAGCCCCCATGCATGAGAACATGAAGGCTGTGCCCAAACTGGGAACCTGCTTTGTGAACTCACCAGCAACCTCAGTGGTGTCCTTGGTATTCATGGTGAGGGATCCAGGGCATGCAAGGTCACCCCCGGCCTGAGGGGCCGGGGGGAGGGGGAGTCCGTGCTGGAAAAAGAAAATGAGGTCATGGAGAAGCCCGCACCTTAAACCAGGATGAGGAACGCAGGTGAGCGGAGGGATGCAGAAACAGGATCACGGTATCTGGGAAAGGTGAGGAAGAAAGGGAAGGGGCTGGGTTCTAACGTGACAGCAGAATCAGGGAATGCGAGGGGAGAACCCAGATATGGCACCAGGAACCAGCATAGTCGGGGGAGGGAGCGACAGGACACCACAGAATGGACTGACCAGGAAAAAATCCGGGTGGGGGAGGGGAGAAGGCGCTCAGGACTGGGGCCTGGGAGGTCCTCTAGCTTGGGCCCTTGCAGCAGCTGGGGTTATGGTGGGGTCAGATCCCAGCGGCTGGGCCTCAGGGGATCTGGTCTTTGGAGGACCGACCGTCTGACAAAGTTTGGATGCTAGGCAAAGCAGGAAGTCTGGGTTAGGGTGGAAGGTTGGAAGACACACCCTGAACTCCTTCTCTATTTGATTTTTTCCAAAGGGAAGGGCAGATCTGATAACTGACCTCACCTATTCTCCCTCCTCCAGGTTCGTCAGGGCCTGGTAGAAACTGGGTTAAACACACTGAACCCGGCTTCTCACGCTTCTCACCCTGGGGACCGTCCTCCGCCCTGAGGCTGACAGTCCTCACCACCCACCAGCACCTATCTCCCCAAATGCCTCTGCCTCCCCCACCAACAGGCCTACCCTAGCCCCATCTACCGCTCCGGCTCCTGCCTTAGTCCCAGCCTTTCTGGGGGGACAGATGGGAGCTGGAGGAGTCGCTCAGCGCGGGCTCCGCCAGGTGTCAAGGATAAAGAAGGGGAGGAGGCCAGTTCTGGCTCGGCCGGCCGTACTGTGAAGCGAGGGCTGGGGTAAAGACTCCGTCCCGGGGTGCAGGTGTGCGGTGCAGGCTAGGCAGCCCGCCAGGGCGCAGAGCGGGAGTGGATCTAGGCTGGGGGCGCGGGGGCGGCGCGGCACTCGGACGCCCGGCCCCACATGGCGGGGCTGGGGTCCCGGGAGAACCTCGGGGTGGGAGGGTCCAGCCTGCACACGGGGACGGTCTGGAGAAGCCTCCAGCAGGGCGGCCCCTGGCGCGGGCGGCGGGCGAGAGGCCGCGTGCGTGCCGGGTGCGAGGGTCTGGGGGCCAGCTCCCGGCACGCGCAGGACCTCCGCGGGGGCCTGCGCAGAGCGGCGCCCCCTGGCGCGGGGGAGGAGGACGGGAGCGGGGTGGGGAGCGGCAGAAGGCCCGGGGGTCCTGGGCGCCGCGCTCCGCGGGCGGCCCGTGCAGCTGCGCCCCCTGGCGCGGGGGCGGAGAGGCGGGCTCGGCCCCGGCGCTTACCTCCCGGGGTCCCGCGGGTGACGGCGGCAGCGGCCATTCTACCCCACGCCGACCCCCCCCAGCGCCGGCTGACAGCAGCGTGCGACGTCACTGCGCAGGGCGGGGCGGGGCCTCCCAGTTAAGGGGATGGGGGTCGGGAAGGGAGCCCGGGGTGGGCGCCGGGAAGGGAGCCCGGGGTGGGCGCCGTGGGTTCTGGCTGCCCGCGCGGAGGAGCGCGGCTCCCAGGCCTGGGGCGAGGCCGAGGGACAGCCGGCTGGAAGTCCCTCGCCGGGCCGTGCTGCTGAGCAGCCGGGTCCTAGCTCCGGAGGCGGAAGCTCGAGCGACTGCCGGGCTGCAGGTCTGGGAGCATGGAGGAGTGGGGTCGGCAGCTCAGATTTGGGGCCCAAAGGCACAGCGAGAAGCTCGATGCTTTGAGCCTCGGCCGACGCTCCTTCGGTTTGGGGACCCAGTCCGACTTCTCTGCGGCTGCGCCCTCCACCAGGTGAACCCCCCCGCCCCCAGCCTCTTCGTCGCCGCGTCCGAGACGAGACAGCTGCCGGCTCTACTCAATTGCGCTTTAATAACAGAAGACACAGAAAACACAAGGCCAGAGCAGGCCTAATGGAAAGCGGGCTTGGGGTTCCTGGGAGAGGGGGGCCCCGGGGACTGTGAACAGGCGGTTGGCCAGGACAGGAACCTCTTCGATGCTAACGGTGGGACAGTTCTGGTGGTACTGGACAGGTTTTGGGCTCTTAAAACAGCAGGTTCTTGGAATGCTCTTCTAACTCTTCCGACTTCAACTCCATTCCTCAGGGATTGTAAACTGGGTTCCCCCTGGCTGTGAGGGTGCTGTAGACCAGAGAGCTCAGCTGCCTAGAGGCACAAGCCTCCTCCTGGCCCAGGGGACTCCAGGGAGACCAGAGCAGCTGTATTTGGGAAATTAAAAAAAAAAAAAAAAAAGAATGAAGGGATGGAAAAATACAACTCTCCAGATGACCTAGTGCAGCCACTCCTTACCCCAAGTCACTGGCTGTCACCTACTTTATTTTTGCTTCTCTCATTTCCAGCTGTGCAAACTGGCTCTTGGCTTCTGCTGTCTCTCTGTGTAAGACCAGGGATCTGTCTCATCACCCCAGGAAACTGCTCTCCTGCCATACCTGGGCCCTACCAGGAGTGGTAAGATGGTCCTCTTCCTGTGGATAGGTTGCTTCCTCTTTTTCCAGATCAGGGTATTCACTGGGCCTGAGGAATTCACAGCTCTCTTCGTGAACCTCCAGTGGTTCAGGTGCAGCCTCAGAGATGCCCCACTGGGCCTTCTTTAGTCTGTGGAAACTTAAAGCTTAGGAGAAAGGTGCCTAGAAGCCCAGGCTTTCTGTCTCTTTATTCCTCATCTTTTTATTTGGAAGTATTTCTTGCTGGGCCCCTAGGATGTTGCCATGTGATCTTCAATTTACCAGTCTCAATTTTCTGTTCCCCCCCAGACAAGTATTTTCAGTCCAGGGACCCAGAGGTGACCCCATGTTCCCCTAGTTCTATGGTATACTTTCCTGTGTTTAGTGAGTTTCAACTGCATCTTGCTCATGTAGCATCCTTTCTTGCCACAATATAGAAACTCTGTTTCATTTGTACCAAGCCCATGACTCCTTTCTAAATAACCTCCAATTCTCTTAAAATTGTCGATCTTTGGCTTAGCTCAAGCCATGCTGTCGCAGCCCTTCTGGGCTCCCAAAACCCAGACCGACCCTTTCTTACTCATTAATGGTTCTCTGGCGCCTCCTCAGGTCCTCCAGGTGATAAGCCACAGCCCTCACCCGAGCTGGGATGGCCCCAGGTCCTTGCTGCATTCCTTTCAACTGGGGCCTCTTCCTCTTTCTTCGGCAAAGCATCTCAGGGGGTGGGAGCCCCCCAGGAGGGTATAGGCCAGGCTGGGAGCAACCAGTGGTTCTCTGTGCCAGAAAATGAGGAAAAGGAGTTTGAACTTGGGAGTCAGGGCCCTCGGGAAGTGACGTGTGAGTCACAGGAAGGAGGGCCTAGTCAATGTACTGGTTGAAAAACACCAGAAAGAAGGGATAAAAAGGACAGCTGGAGACAAAAAGGCATCAGATGCAACTTTAGCACAAAAGTGTTGGAAGGTGTAGTGTGTCATACCAACATGGGTGGGAGGCACTGTTCTTCCATCCAGATGGGGCTGTGAAGCACAAAACGGGGGCAGAGTCAGCGAGAATAGCGCATACATCCTGTTTCTCTGATGACCTCACCCAGCATGTCTGGTGTGAGAGCTGTGGTGTCCATCAGCTGGTTGGAAATTATCCTCAGACTAGCCTAGGGCTTGCTTCCACAAGGACGTAGGGTAGGTAAAAACTATACCCTCATCATCCTAATTCTAGTTAGTCTCCATTTTCTCTTTTTTTCTTAACTCACCTGGACCTTCGGGTAAGATTCTCCCAGAATGTATCTCCATAACACTTAGGTGTGGGTCTGAGGCTCTGGGAAAGCAGGCTATCGGGCAGAGATCGGCTGACTACTTGGGAACACCTGAAATGAGGCCAAAGTAGGCTTGTGTCTGGCCTTTCCATCATAGCTTCTACTCACCTTTGGGATTCAGGGGCCCGTGTTTCTAGAGGACCACACAGCTGCTCAGGTTCCCTCAAGACATGGCCTCAGTGTTCACTTTAGCTATGACAAATGTGAATAGAGATTGGAGCTGGGGTCAAGGTGGAGAGGGGCGATTGTTGGAGTCTGAGATCTCAAAGGATCTCAAATTTCTAGGCTCAGACTTTATTTATTTATTTGTGCCCCCCCCACACATACACAAAAAGGTCATGAATCATGACCTTGCGTTTGCCAAGCAGGCACTTATGCAGCTGAGCTAAACCCCCAGCTTGATTTATTTTTGAGACAGGATCTCTCACTAATTCAAGCTGGCCTTTAACTCACTATAGAGCCCAGGCCGTCCTTGAACTCACCATGATCCTTTTGCCTCAGCTTCCCCAGTGTTAGATTATAAGTAAGCACCACCACACCTAGCAATCTCAAACTTACATACCTCATAACCAGTGAACATAATATTTAACAAGCAGGGTTGTTAAAAGGGAAGGCCCGGGTTATTCAGGCAATTTTGAGAGTTGCTTTAGGTCAACTGTAAGAGCAGGAGAGAGAAACTTTGTCTCTTTTATCTCAAGGGCTAATATCTTTATAGATAAGGAGATGTGTACAGAGCTATTTGAGAACAGTGCTTACCACTTGCAAAACTCCCAGACGAATGGTTGCCCCCCTGATCTCTAAGAAGTGGGGTGTCCTGGGACTGGGGCTAGGGGCTCCTTTTGCTTTCCCTCTCCATCTCTCCTGAGGTGATCTGACTCAGTATCATAACTGTATCACTGCTGTCTTAGTTACTTTTCCTGATGCTGAGACAAAAATACTTACTCTGAAGCTAAAGGAAGAAAGGTTTATTTTGGCTCACGGTTTGTAGCGGTTTCTTTTCATAGTTGGCTGGTTCCAAGGCAAGGTAGTGTTGCAGAGGGCATCACAGAAGAGAAATAGTTGATGGATGGAGAAGGCACAAAGGCAGCAAAACAGCCAAATAGCAAGCAGCAAGTGACAAACAGCAGCCACAGCAGCCCCTTCTGTCCCTTGTACCCTACGCAGCCGGGCAGGCAGCGCTCACACCCGGGGCACCCTCCATCCCAGCACTGCACTGTGAATGAACCCCAGCATCACATCCTGTAGATCCAGCCACCTCTGTTAAGTTCCACCTGTGACCACATGAGGCTTGGGGGGGACATCTAGATATAACTGCTTACATACCAATGACTCCCAAATCTGTTTTTCCAGTCTGTCCTGGTTCCTTTCTGGGATTCACTTGACACCCCCAGCCTTCCCCATCTTACTGAAAGGCACCCCAAATATCTAGTTGTTAGGGCCAAAAGCCTAGTTTGCCTTACTTTTCCTTGATTCCCAAATCCAATCCATCACAGCCTTATACATTCTAAATCGGCAATATATTTGAGTTTGACCACTTCTCACCATTTCATTCCCATCACCATATTCTAGGTCATCTTCTCCTACCTGGACTATTGGAATAGCCTCTCCTGTCCCTGCTCCCATTTTCATCTCTCTACAATCTATTCTTCACAGAGCACTGACAGTAATCTTTTTTTAAAAATGTGATTATGTGAAATGACACAGGCTTGAGATGTACTTCGAAATAATTTAGGAAGTAGGGGGCTTGATGAGTATAGACATGAAAAGATCATCCACACAGTCGTTACTGAAGACTGAAAATGGACAGGTCCAGGTGTTTTTTTTTTCTTTTGTTAGGCATGGTCTTGTTATATAATCCACGCTGGCCTCAAACTCACAATCCTCCAGCCTCAGCCTCTCAAGTGCTGAGATTATAGGTATGTGCCACCATGCCCAGCCTACATCAATTTTTTTGATACTATTTTTTCTACTTTTATATTTACTGGAAGTTTTCCATCATCAAAAAAGCTTGAAGGAAAAAGTTATGTCATTCCTTTACTTCCACTGATTTTCACTGTCTTTAGAGTAAAATCCAAACTCTCATATTTGGCTACTTTTTGAATTGCTCCTGAACACTGTCACCAAAGATTTATATGTTATTATATACAGAATAATGTCTCTATTTAGTACAGAAAATATAAATTCATTTTCCCATGGTCATGACCTAGACAGTAACTCTTACCACAGAAGAAGTTTGGGCTACAAATTCCCCAAAAATGGGAAATCTGGTCAACTTTGTATAAAAAATGAAAATGGATGCCAGGGATTTTGCTCAGCTGAACAAGTGCTTGCCTGGCAAGTGCGAGGTCATGAGTTTGATCCTCAGTACAAAAAAAGGAAGAAGAGGAGAGGAGGAAGACGAAAAAGAGGAGGAAGAGGAAGAGGAGGAAGAAGAAGAAGAAAAAAATGGAGTATAGGAGCTGGGGATTTAGCTCAGCGGCATAAGCGCCTGCCTTGCAAGCATGTGGTCATGAGTTAGATTCTCGGTACCAATTTAAAAAAAAAAGAAAATGGACTATAGAGTTCACATGGTAGAAATGAAAATAATTGAATTTTAGGAATCTGAATGTATTCATCTCAAAGCAGGCAGATTTCATCGTACTAGGTTCATCAATACAATATGATGTCTAAAATTAAAATTACTAACACAGGCTTAATGTGGAGGTGCATGTCTGTGATCTTAGCACTCAGGAGACTGAGGTAGGAGGATCACCTCGAGTTTGAGGCCATCCTGGGATACATAAGCTTAAGGCCAATCTGAACTACATAGCAAGGCCCTGTGTAAGAAACAAAAGCCAGTAATAGTTATAAAAACAGAATAAAATCCAAACTCTCCTCTATGGGCTATTAAGATCTGTGCCCTGTGTAATTCTCTGACTTTAATTTTCTGCTTGACTACTAAATCAGTTACATTGGCTTGCTTCCTGTTCCTAGAACATACTAAACATTTCCTCCATTAGACTAGCTCCTTCTTACTTTTCAGATTACAATTCAAATTCGTCTCCCAGAATAGTTTCCACAATCACTTCATTTAACTTTGTATCCCCCTAAACCCACTACTTTCCCTTATATTATACTCTTTTTTTATCTTTTCATGGTACTTATCACTACTTGAAATTATATTTGTTTATACATTCTGTTGCCTTTCTGAATATAAGCTCTGTAAGAGTAGAACCCTTACCTAGTGGCTGAATCTCCACAATGTTGTCCTTCTAACACAGGACATAGGCATACAACCTTCCCTCCATCCCTTCACCATGCTCTCTACCCACTGGGAAGGACTCACTTGGCAAAGGGAATTAGGTTTTCTTCATCTTCCTGTACTTGCATGACTGGACTGGGCTGGGTACCCAGACTGAGTCTTCTCAGTGCTAGGGGAATAATGGAATATGAATCATTCACTTGTATAATGGTTGTAGGAATGAGACCAGCAACAGATCTAGCGATTTGAAAGACTATGTGTAGATTCTGAAAAAAGAGAAGTTTGAAAGGTATCTTCAGGGCTAAGGATATAGTTCAGGGGTAGAACACTTGATTAGAATGTGCAAAGCCGTAGGTTTGATCCCTCATCATAAAAAGAATAAAAGCAGTTTTAGTGTTGGACTGGTCTTGAGCTCAAGGTGATCCTCCTGCCTCAGCCTCCCAAGGGCTGGAATTATGGTAGTGTGCCACCACACCTAGCCAGTGTTGGACTATTAACCGAATACAAAGGTTGAAGATGGCAAAGATGGTAACCATTGGAAAGGTGTAGTAAAAGGTAGTGGAGAAAGTCAATTTTCTGAGGATAAATATATACAGGAAGTGAAATTTATAGATTTCAGGCATTTAACAATATGGGATGGTGAAACAAAAAAGAATGATAGATGAAGACTGGGCAGGGGCATTTGTGGGTAATTGGCCCAGAGCTGGAATAGTTGGGGTAGCAGAATTGAGAGTTAGTAAGTAAGTCAAACATAAATGGTAAAAGTAAAGTGGACAGAGTGGACAATTAGTGATAAGGAAACAGAGAGTGTCTAAGGATGTCTACAGTATTGTGAGCAGAGCCAGATGTGGTAGTAAATACAGGAGGCTGATGCAAGAGGACTGAAAGTTTGAGCAAAGCCTGTTTCATTTTGTTTTGTTTTGTTTGAGACAGGGTCCCATTATAAAGTCAGGCTGGCTTCGAATTTGTGACCATCCCTTGCCTCTGCCTCTCGAGAGCTGGGATTACAGAATGTAACACCATGGGCAGCCAAAGATGACTGGAGAGCTAGTTAAGGTGGCAAGAGAAGATAGTTAAGGATACTAGTTAAAAGCTGCGTTGCTGGGTGTGTGGCTTAGTGGTATAACACTTGCCTAGTTTGTGATTTAATCCCCTGAGCTATGAAAGGAAAAAAACAGAAAACAAAACAAACAAACAAAAAAACAAAACAGAATATCAGAAAGTTAGGAAAATGCATGCAGGCTGCACAAAAGACAAAAAAATGTTAACTGGAAACTGCTAATGGTGAACAAGTATTTACCCAAAGATAACTAGATATGGGCTGAGGAAAAAAAATGGAGAGAGAAATTACTTAGGGTTAAGGTGGCTGATGAGGGATTTGTGAGGTCTAAAAGATGAGTTGATCTAAACGGAGATTCTGGGCCAGGAGGGGGCCAGCAGAACTCAGGAGCTGGAGGACATTAAGACCTCAGAAAGTTGGGCCTAACATAATGGGTGGCCTAGATCTAGGGTAAGCACCAAAGCCAGCCCCACAGGATTCTCAGTAGTCATGGGCCTTGGAGGGCGACTCCAGGGAGAGGGGAGGCCGGGCGGAGGAGGGGGCAGGAGCCCGCAGTCGGGGGGGGGGGAGGGACGGCCCTGGGGGTGGCTCGGGCAGGACAGGCCTCCGAGACCCTCGGCTCGGAGACGAGCTGGAGGGCAGCCAGGCCTGGGCACGTCTGGCCTTGGCCGCTGAGGTGCTTGGCACCGGGGTCTGAAGGGCCGGGGAGGGTCTCGGCCTGAGGCGGCGGCCGTGAAATCCTGGACTGCGGAACTGCAAGGCCAGTCGAGGACACAGCGCCAGAGTGGTTATGCGGCCGCCGCTCTTGGCTCCAGCACCTGAGGCAGCTGCGCGGCGAATTCTAGAACCACGAGCTTGACAGGGACGAGGCGCGCCCGGGTGACCCCGGCAGGACAGGAGCCCGCGGCGTTCGAGCTCCTGGGGGCGGGGCCCAGACGGCGGTCCCTCCTGGGCGGGGCCGACGGAGGCTCCGCCCCGGGCACGCCCCCGACGGCGGCGACGTGCGCGGGTCCGAGGCGTGGGTCCCCCTCAGGGTCCGCCCCCACTTTTCCCGGCTCCTCAGGCGCTGGCCACTTTCCCACGTCGCGGCGGCTGGTTGCTCTTGTGTGTGTTGCCGGGTTCCGGGTGCCCCCGCTCCGCGCTGTGGCTCCTATAGTCAGGACGCCTTGCCCCTTTAACAGAAGCCGCCGGGAGGCTCCAGGCCCCTCCTGGGGCAGCGCGCTCCCGCCCTCCCGTCCGCGCGCGCGCCCGCTCGTCCCCCGCCCCTCGCTCCCGCCCCAGCTCGCGCTGCCCGGGCGGGCGCCGGCCGCTGGCGCCGCTACTGCTGCCGCCCCGGGCCGCGAGTGAGCCGCCCGTCGCCCGGGGACCCGGCGAGGGGCGGGGGCAACCCCAAACCGGCCCCAGATCTCTACCACTCCAGTCTCCCGGTTCCCGGAAAGTTTGTCCCTTTGCACTTCGCGGAGCTGCGCCGGGAGCCCCGCCGCTACGAGGTGAGAGCTGGGGAGGGGGGAAGGGAAGGGACGCCGGCGGAGGAATGTGCTGGGCAGGGCGGGCGGGGAGCCGGGGTCCCGTTTGCTGGACCGGGCTAGTGCCGGCTGGACTCGAGAACTGGGATCATGTGCTGTTTGTGTTGCGGAGGCGCAGAGAAGTGCCAGGCCCTAGGCTGCCGTCGTTTGGC